CTTTAGGGACGAGCTGTGATGGAGCAGCGGGCGGCCAGGAAGCCACCTGGTGCTGGGACTCGAGGAGGCAAGGAGTGTCTGAACTACCACAAAATGGCTTGGAGTCCCCATGAGATCAGAATGCTGGTCCGTCTGTGGTTCTAATCTCAGCTTTTAAAACATCACGGACTCATGGAACCCGTGAGGGGGATCATCTAGAAGAATTCACCTCTTTTTTAAAACAAAACAAAACAAAACATTTTTTTATTGTGGTAAAATATATGTAACACAAAGCTAACGATTTTAAGCAGTTTTAAGCCTACAGTTCAGTGGCACTAAGTACATGCATAATACCGGGCAACCATCACCACCATTTCCAGAACCAACATGCCTCTTTGTAGAGTCAAAAATGCTCAAGCCTCAAGGGGGAAAATGATTTATTTAAGGTCACACAGCTTGGGATGCCTGGGTGGGTCAGTGGGTTAAGCGTCTGATTCTTGATTTTGGTTCAGGTCAGGATGGCAGGGTCGTGAGATTGAGCCCCGCGCCGGGCTCTGTGCTGGGCATGGAGCCTCCTTAGGATTCTTTCCCCTTCGCCTCCCCGCACCGGGCTCCCTCCCTCCCTCGTGCAGGGGGCGGGGAAGACTATGCAGCTTGTGGCAAAGGTGGGGTTAGAACCCAGGCCTTCTATTTGCTAGATTGTAGTCGATTTTGTGCTCATAAAACACACTCATTCATACCTTCCCAGGATCTTTACAAGTTTCCCGAATAAGGCTCATAGACATGTCCCGGAGGCCTTCAGAGTTGCGGAACAGCAGCTTCTCCACGCACCGTCTTGGTAAAAGGGCGTCATTTTCTAGACCCCAACCCCTGCCCAAGATACATATCAGGGATCACTGGTAGGTGGGGTCTGTGGCACATGTGATTTTCTCAAGAACATGGGATGAAATGAAAAATACACTGAGTTGACCCAAGAGTTCTAGCAACATCAGGGGTCATGCTTACAAACAGCATCTCCATTAGGCGCCGTGTCTCTGTGTTTGACGGTTACTATAATTTCTATCAATTTTTGATTTCTCTTCTACTTCTTTTTTTTTTTTTTTTAATTTTTATTTACTTATGATAGTCACAGAGAGAGAGAGAGAGAGGCGCAGAGATACAGGCAGAGGGAGAAGCAGGCTCCATGCACCGGGAGCCCGACGTGGGATTCGATCCTGGGTCTCCAGGATCGCGCCCTGGGCCAAAGGCAGGCGCCAAACCGCTGCGCCACCCAGGGATCCCTTCTCTTCTACTTCTTATCATAGTTTTTCTTCTCATAGATTGTCGGACTTCATCAGTTGCCTCGGGCTGAAGTTTCTATTGACTGCAATAAAAACTCAAGCCAGAAGTGGACGCCCAGTTCGGTCTCCGCTCCTTCTGGGAGGCAAGGTGTCAAATCGGAGGACGTGGCTTTCTTCCCTTTCCTAATTTCTTCCTCACAGTGGGCTCAGCTCCCAACAACCATCTCCACGTGCCTCTCCTCTCCTGTCCCCGCGCGCCCATCGCTGCTGTCACCCGGTCCCAGTCGGTTCTGCCACGCCGTCCCAATGCCAGTTCCCTCACCTCATTTCCCATTCATGCTGGTGAGCCCACAGACACTCTGGCTTGATCCACCAGGGGGGATTGGTCTGGGATCTGGCTTCGGAGACAAACCCTCTGAACTCCCACACAACTCAGTGCAGGAAATTCATCGCAAAGGAACTGGCTTAAGCAAAAGGTCTCCAAGCATCCCCGGATGTGGATGTGCTGAATGAGCTGAATCTTGCCGAGGAACCATAACGGCAAAATACTATCACAGCCATAAATTACCTCTTCACAGGCACTGGATAGCATCATGATACATGATGAACAACTGAAGTATAAAACAGGAAATTGTTCGGTAAACCATGGGCTGGTTACACAGGATAAAGCCACGCAGCCCATAAAAGTGATATTCATAACAGCGCATGTCAGCTATGCCTCAATAAAAAGATCTTCACAGGGAAGGATTTTGATATACGGATGACAGATGACGCCTGACGTACGGCGGTTCAAGTGTCTGGGAGCAATACCCATTTAGTAGAAACCGTGCTTTGAATTCCGATCTGTCCCCAGGTTAGCGATGTGATACCTCCTGGCTCCCAGCCAGCGCCACCCCTGCACCCCCGCACCCCACACTCCCCATCAGCTTCCAGTCAGCCACGGGATCACGCAGCAAAGCACTCATACAGTTAACCATGCTGTACCCGAAACTATTCAGTTTTTCCCTTTCGCTATGGTATTCAATGAATCACATGAAATAGTCAACACTTTACTATAAAATAGGCCTTGTGTTAGATGACTTTACGCAGCTACAGGCTGTGCTAAAGGTAGGTGAGGTATATCAATTGTGCTTTCCACTTAAGATATATTAAAAAAATTTTTTATTGGGAGTTCAATTTGCCAACATATAGCATAACACCCAGTGCTCATCCCGCCCAGTGCCCTCTCAGTGCCCGGCACCCAGTCACCCCGTCCCCCTGCCCACCTCCCCTTCCACCACCCCTTGTTCGTTTCCCAGAGTTGGGAGTCTCTCATGGTTTGTCTCCCTCACTGATATTTTCAGTCATTTTCTCTCCTTTCCCCTTAAGATATTTTCAACTTATGATGGGTTTATTGGGACATAACCCCAGTGTAAGCAGAGGAAGACCTGTAAGGTTAAGTGTATAAAGTAGGACAGAAGTGTATGCACAGTATGATCTTAGCTTTGTAAAACATTTATGGAGGGCTGGAGGTGTTTGAAATGGGTGAAGGTGATCATAAGGTACAAACTTCTAGTTATAAGATAAATAAATTTGGGGGATGTGACGTAGAACATGATGCTAGTGCTGTATCATACGTCTGAGAGTTGCTAAAATAGTAGATCTTTTATTTTTTCCTATAGATTTCCTATAGATTTCATCACACCCTGGGCTGAAGATGGCGCTGAACCGCTGAGCCACCCGGGTGGCCCTAAGATAGTAAATCTTTAAAGATCTTACCACAAGAAAAAAAATCTGTAGCTATGTGAAGTGATGGATATTAACTTACTCTGGTAATGATTTTGTACAACAAGCGTATATAAAATGATCAGTTTGCACACTAAAGCTAACACAGTGTTATATGCCAATTATGTCTCAATAAAAATGGAAAAAATATTCTTAGAAACGGGGCTGCAAGGGATCCCTGGGTGGCACAGCGGTTTAGCGCCAGCCTTTGGCCCAGGGCACGATCCTGGAGATCCGGGATCGAGTCCCACGTCGGGCTCCCGGTGCATGGAGCCTGCTTCTCCCTCTGCCTGTGTCTCTGCCTCTCTCTCTCTCTCTCTCTCTCTGTGTGTGTGACTATCATAAATTAAAAAAATAAATAAATAAAAAAAATAAAAAAAAGAAACGGGGCTGCAAGGGAACTTGAAAAAAAAGGTAACAGTGGCTATCTCAGATGGTGAGATCAGGAATAACTGTGATTCCGCCTTCTTTGCTATGCTTGCCTATCCTTTTCATGATGAGTAAGGAACACTTTTGTAATGAGAAAAATAAAAACAAACTTCTAAAGGGAAATAAAATGCAATTTGGTAAGTTGAATGGATACACATGAAGGAAAGAAAATCGCACGGGAGATTCCCTGCAGCTTTCCTTCCTTCGTGAGCCTGCAGGGCCTGGTCCATGGGAAGGACCAAGCCCCAGCACCTGTGGGTGCCACCGAGGGGACAGCCCTGCCAACATGCTCCTGAAGCCGGGGTGGAAAAGATCCGCCTCCTGGCAACCGTGTCTGAAAATGGGGAACCTTTCCATGTACGACACTTGTTCCGGTAAGGGTACACATTTTCTCTGTTTTAATCAGAGAAATCTTTCTAGAATAGACTGCGTATTCTTCAGACTCCTTAAAAGGGGATGCAGAGAACATACATTTTGCCTCTCTGCTCATTCGGGGTCAGCACTGAGGACATCAAGACTCTTCTTGGAAATAAAATACAGCGTTTAGTGTTCTTCAAACCCAGATGACTGCAGTTTCTGAGGTTTGGACCCTGACTTATATTTTCTTTCCTTTTTGTCCTTATTAGGTGGATGGTTTCAGCTTTTAGTGAGCAGCTTCTCACCTTGTGCTTGGCTCTGTCACCAGAACCAGCTCCTGTCCTTCTCCTGCCCTGGTCTAGTTTGCTGTAGGCGAGTAGACCTACTACGCACACTTCTTAGAGATTTGCCTAAAATCATACTTTTTAAGCTTGGGGTGAGGCTTACGGGTTGTCCAAGGCCTTTTTCTCAGCTATACTCTACAGTGAAGGTTGCAGAAGGCTTTATATAAATGAGGCCATCAGGAGCTACTATTTGATATGTTAGTTATGCCATTACTCTGTTTTTAAAAATACAAGAGAAATAAAGTGCTCTTTATTATTATTATTATTATTATTTTACAAAATTGGTAACACCGTCTTCCCAACTTCTTAAAGCAGCAGAACCCTATTTACAAATGAAATCTTGCTTGGAAATCACATACTCCCAACAGTTACAAGCAAAAAGCAAAACTACTTCGGGTGACTCCAGCGGGAGCAGCCCAAGTTGGGGCCCCGTCCGAGGACAGCAACAGCCCCGGGGCACCGAGGCAGAAGCCAAGCACCAAGAGCAGCTTCGCAAAGCACCCGAGTCTGATGCTGTCGGCAAAGGGACCCAAGCTGAAGGTTGTAGTCTACTCATTTACAACCAAGCCAGGGATGGCACATCGGAACCTACGTGGTAAGGGTACGATGCTTCTGTGTAGGGACTATTTTACTTGACATATTTCCTGTTTTTAGCTCTAAGAGGAGGCCCTGGAGCTAAGCTGGTGCTGGCGGGGTCTCGTTAGATAGAATGGGTCAGAGACGCATGGCCGGAGCCTGGCTAAAGGGCCTCCCGGGGACAGACGGGCCCTAGGCTGCCCTTCCTCACCGTGGACCTCACGGGCTCGGTGCTGGAGGGGCCGTCTCAGGAGCTGCGGGGGGCTCTTACCTGGTTGTCCGGGTGGTTGACGGTGAAGTAGCCCACACAGACGATGACCTCATGAAGGAGGCTTTCGCAGGAGGCCTGGCTGCAGTGGCCTAGGAGAGAGCTGGCGATGTGTCGGAATGCAAGCGACAGGCCCTCCGCCCCTACGATAGACTGAGGAAGACAGGGGCCGTTAGAACTGCCGGGGTGGGGGGGGGGCGCACTTCCTGCACGGTCTGGAAAGGCATAGGAAGTTTCTAGAGCGCGGAGTTTGACAGTTCATTTTGGGGCTTCTCGCTCTAATAAATGACAATAAAGAGAACGTTTAACCCGAAAGGAGACACGGAGAAATACCGTCACCACGTGGATCACGACACTGCCACCTACAGCAGGGTTATTCATTCTGTGTGTAACAAGTAAGTTCTTTTCATTGTGCAAATAATCTCGCTGTAGAAAATCTGGAAAAATACTGAAAATACTACAATCCTCCTGTGAACCCACCATTTAGCTAACTTCTAATACTTTTTTTTTCTCCTGAGGGAGAAAATGTTTTCTTGAACACACGGATAAAAATACAATCCTAATTATTTACTTATGTTTGCAGAGGAAAGCAATGGAACAAGCGGCCCTGGAGCCCAGCGCTCCCTAATGCTGCAGCCGGCGTCCCCCCGGAGGCAAGCCAGGACGGCCGCCCGGCTCCTGGGGTCGCCCCTACAGACGGGCCGCGGCCCAGGAGGGGGTCCGGGGCGTCTGCGCAGCCCGAGCCTCTATTTAGTGAGCATGTCAAAGGGCAGAGCGGCGGGAGGCGGAGGGCGGAGGCGAGGCCCGCAGGGTGCCGGGAAGCCCTGGAAGGCCGAGGCTGGGGCTTGAGCAGGCCCCACGGCTGCGGCCTGGAGTGGGGCGGCCGGGCCGTGCCCCTTCCTCAGGCCAACATTCTCCAAGCCCCGGGAGGCCTCCGAGCTTCATTCCTTTAAATCAAGGGGCGACGCCTCCTGGCTCAGCCGCTGTGGTCAGCGAGTCTAGCGGCGACCCGGGCCCTGTCCGGCCTTCCCCGGGAGGAGCGGGCGAGGGGCGCCTAAGGCCGAATATAAAAATTAAACCAGTTTTTCAAGGAAACCATATTTCCTGTTTAGCCAGAATTAATTGCCAAGGCAGTCAGGGCACTGATTCATCTCCTGAGACCCCTGCGACTGCGAGGCCTGTCACGGCGGTGCGACGTGCACACCCGGCCCCAAGGCCCGAGCCGGACTCTGCTGAGGCCAGACTGGTGGCCAGCCTGACCAGCCACCGTGACATCTGTGCGGAACCGGCCGGGGAGACAGCCAGCGGCGAAGCCCCGTCGCCCCACGTGGGGCTCGCACAGGAAACATGCGCACGGCCCACGGCTCTGCAGAGGGCGGCCTGGCCACGCCGCACCAGAAAGTACTAGGAATCAACATCTGCAAAGGAGTTTGGGAGGATGATGTAAAGTCTTTTCCCACTTCCTGGCGGGCCCGCTGCGTGCCAGCCCGCCCCGGCGCCTCTCCAGGACCCCACGGAACCTCCCTGTGACGTAGATGAGAAGCTGAATCCACACGCCTCATTTCGGGGCACAGACGTGGTAGTGTAACGGCCCAAAGTCACATCAGTCTGACTCCAGACCCAAAGGTGTGGCGGCGATGCCTACTACAGCCTGCGATCTTGTGACGCACCGGTCAGCGCGCCTTACGTCATCTTCTTTAACTCCTTAGCAGGTCAGACTATTTATCTCATTTCAGTTTTATGCTTCGTTCCTTGGATCCTCTCAGGCAATTCATAAATTGTCTCCCAGATTTTTCTGAGGTCAGATCCGTGCTGTACCTAAAATCTCTTTTCCTTTTATAAACATAGTTCCTAAAATCTCACTTATGACATGTAAGCTGTTCTGATGAACTGCAACATGAGCTTCTCTGACCATATTTCCCATAATAGTGCATTCCTCCCAAACTCACCGTTGCTTTATGATGCAAATCCCATATCTCTGTACTGTATTTACACACTGCACCAGAGGTCCACCTACATCAGTGACGTCCGTGTGGATGTTTTACTTTACCAGACACAGTGCAGTGGTTCAACAAATGCCTATAAATCTTTGCTAGTCCTCCCACGAGAGGTGGGGCCCACACCTTCTCCCCTCGAATCTGGAAAGCTGATGACTGATTTAACCAGAATTACGGTTGATATGCAGCTATATGACTTGTAAGCAAGGTCAGAAAAAGCCATGCAATTTGTTTCTTTTGGAACATTTGTTTTCTGGCAGCTCCCTCTCAGGACACTCACTTAGAACCAGACACTATGATGTTTTAAGCCCATGTCACACAGAAGAAGCCCTAGTTAGGGACCTTGGCGAGCCTCGTCTGTAAGTCATCCCAGGGATCAAAAGAGATGGAAGGAGCCTCAAGATGATTCTAGCTCCCAGCTACTGTGTCAACCTGCCCCTCCGTCCCCCCACTTGTTATCTGAGGCTTTTGATTAAAGCCCGGCATCATGGGGCAGTGAGAAGCCACCCATATGGTGGTGAGCTCTGAAGTCTGGGCCCACAGAATCTGTGACCGTAATAAAGTGGTTACTGTCTACTAAGTTTTTTTTTTTTTAATGCATATAAGTAACTGGAACAATAAGGTGATCCTTGGTAGATGTGTTAAAGGCCATGATGCTAGAAGTTCTGGGCATTTGGGTGCCTACACAGGCTGATGAGCAGTAAGGAAAGAACATGCTGGGCCTTGAGTATAGAAAGGATGGCAGCCAGGGAGAAGGTCCCCACAGGCTTTCCGGGCCCACATACCAGTTAGGGGAAAGAGTACCTGGGAATAATGTCTGGAGAGAGAATGAGAAACCATTATGGCCAAACTGACTAAGATAAAAGGAGACCGGAGAGTCAGAAGAGAGGTTAAGAAAAGAAGAAACAAATAGGAAAGAAAGACTTAGAGCTGCACAAAGGAGAGGGAGGAAAGGGGCAAAGGTCCCGGAGAGGCGCCAGGAAGCAGCCGCGGAAAGACAGCCTACCTGGAGGCCGGGCCTTTGGTTCTCGCTTGACCAACTCTCGAGTCACCCCGGTGTTTCCCCTGCTGTTTTTGACAAACGTGGCTCAGGGGAGCACATTGCAGGCTGGATATGTCAAGGAGCTAGAGAGGAGAAAGCTTGGCCTTTACGTTAGTTTGCCATGAAGGGCTCCAGAGATAAGATTTTGATTTTTCTGACATTATTGGCTATTGAGCCTAAAGGCCCCGAAGGGAGCAGGGCTGCCTAGACTTCAGTGTAAGCCTCCTGAGTGAGACGGAATGGGCTGCGGCCCACAGAGGGTGCGCGGAGCACAGGGACCTGACCTGGGCAACCTGACATTCAAGAGTGTCGCTGATGGAGGAGGCTGACTTCGTGCAGGTGCTTCGTTTACGATGTGGGGCGCCCTGCAGCCGCATCAATCCTCGTCAGAAGACCTAGAACACTAGAAGCTCACAGATAGTTTTAGATATTTTATTTCCACGATCCCTGGCAACAGAGGAAATCACTCTACTTGGACGAGCTGATGGGGAGACTGCTGGTCTCCATGTTCTGAAGACAAAAACTCACTGTCTCCTGATTTCCAAGCTGTTTCTGCACTGAAAGCAATGGGCTTGGGTCTTCGTAAAACACAGACGTTCTGTTCAACCCAGAGGCGAGAACCACTGGCATTTTCTGCAGCAGCCACCCCGTTTGAGGCATGTGATAAACTCAGAACTTTACAGCCTATGCAGTTACCACTGAAGGCTGGTTCAAATGGTCTGCAAGCTGAAATGCGTTAACCCTAAAGAGGTTTCTGTTCTTGTGATGGATAAACTCTGCAAAGTTGAGAGATATTGAATCCAATGATACAACTTACTCATTAATTTTCCATTGTGAACACAATGACAGGAAGACAAGAATTCCACATTTGTCATCAGCTACAAAACAAGCATTTCTTCTATTTGGGAACGGCCAGAGAACACCATTTTCATACATTTATATCTCTATAACCTTTTTCCCTCTGAGCAAAGCAATTCATCTAAATTATGGGTTCATCATCTGCCAAGTTTGTTCCTTTTTTAATGAAATCGCTTGACAGTTAATAAACTGAAAGAGAAAGTCTACTCTTTGGGGCTTGCTCTGTTCCAGAGGTTCAGTGTTTTTGAAAATTAAATTTCCTACATGGAAAAAAATCTATTTCTAAGCTGACAGTCTGGTGTTATAGCATAAAGCAATTTTTCTTTCTTCAGCTATAAAAACTTAATAATGGATTAAGTAACAAATCAGTTAATCAGCCACAGAAAGTCCTATCAATCAAAACAATTTATCTAATTTTGGTTCTGTTTATGTAAGAAACCATGATTTTCCTTAATGTTTCAAAGTTGATGGGATAATAATGCCTTTCTATAAAGTAACCAAGACAAGATTTATTAGTAGCAGAATGGCACAGGGTTTGGGGTCAGAACATCATAGGTACTAGTTCCGGCAAAGCCACGTGTAACCCTGGGCAAACTACTTAACTGTCAGCATTTCTGTCTGTAAAATGGGTGTAATATTTTGCAGGACTATCATGACGCATATGTGGAGAACCTAATACAGTTCCCAGGAGACAGAAGCTTAATAAATGGTAGGTATTGTGATTTCTTCTTCTTCTTCTTCTTCTTCTTTTTTTTTTTTTTGTAGTTTATTCCTTATGTCCCAACCCAGGGGAGAAACATCACAGCTTTATCTGTACTAAAATATTAACTCTTGGTTGGTTGACACCAACCCTGAGCAACGCTTGGTACCTGGAAAGTGGGCAGATCAAGGGCTGCAAAGCTGTTGAAGAACTGTAGGCTCTGAACGGCCACCCGCACCGTGTTGGGAGTGTAGGTGTCCTTGGGGCTGGTGGTGCCGGGGTCCGAGACAGTGCCGTGGAGGAGGACGCAGTAGAGCATGTGCAGGACTCCGGCCAGGTCAGTGGCCTGGAGAGCGGCGGTCAGTCCCGTGGGATCCTGGCGATTACTGTCGAATATGCCACACGACCTGACAAAGAAACGTTCAGCTGCTTAGACGGCGTCTCCCGAGGGATGTTCGCATTGTTAGAGGTAAATGGAGCAGGCCGAGGTAAGTGGAGGTAAGTTAGAGGTAAGTGGAGCAGGCCGAGCAGGCCTTAGAGGGCGACCAGCCGAGCTGCAGGGGAGGGAACAAGACACCTCGGGGGGTGGGCGCGGCCGCCTCCCCTGCACCCCTGGGCGGCGAGCACCTGAGGCTGCCCCCCCCCCCCCCGCGAGGCCTAGCAGGTGCTCCTCGTTTAGATTCAGGGGCTGGACACACGGACAGAGCCCAGGAGACCTCCGGGGACCGGGGTAGAGACACCAGAGCTTCCCGCCAGGATCCGCGACGGGGACCTTCGGGGGGGGGGTGGGGACGCGGGGGGCCTGCAGGCCTCAGGAGTGCGGTTCCACCGCCGGGGGCCTGGGGGGTCCTGGGGGCCGGGGGTCCTGGAGTGAAGGCAGCAGAGCCTCCACCCGGGCCCCACGCAGCCCCGCGGCCGGAGCCCGCAGCTGTGCCAACGCAGCCGCCACGCTCTGCCCCCCAGTTCTTCCCTGAAACTGAACCCTGATTTCTCTGAGCAACGACCTCTTTTTTGGGATTTAGATTCACTTTGCCGCCCAGGGTTCATCGCTGGCTCCAGGCGCGGCTCTCCGTGGCTGAGCTCTGGCCCTGGCGCCCGGCGCCCCGCCTGTGGCCAAGCAGCTGCTCCACGCCCAGGGGAGGAGGCTGGGCAGGTGCCGGCGCCCGGGCAGGGACGAGCCAGCGGCCGAGGCCCCTCCAGGTGGGGGGCGGCCCGGGGGCAGCAGGCGAGGGCCCACACCGGCTGCTCACCCAGGAAGACAAGGGACAGGTCCCTGCTCCGTGTCCTCCTTTCCGGTACTCTTCCCTACGTTTGTTTTAAGATTTTATTTATTTATGCATGAGAGACACAGAGAGACAGAGACAGACACACAGAGAGAGGCAGAGACGCAGGCAGCAGGCTCCATGCCGGGAGCCCGGGTCTCCAGGGTCATGCCCTGGGCCAAAGGCAGGGGCCAAATCGTTGAGCCACCTGGGGATCCCCAATCTTTCTAGGCATTTAAATGACATGAATTCACTGCTATTACTTCAAAAGAGTAAGTGCAAATAAAAAAAAGGTGAAGGTCATCAGACTGTTTCCTTCTTCCTCTCTCCATCTCATCCCATTATTTAGAAAAATACTAATCACAAACTATTTAACAGCACAATCTAGGATACTTTGCTATATTCTCCTGATGAAATAAAAATATTGATTCAAAAAAATGAATTAAATAACCATTCAATAACTTAAATGTGTAAATGGTTTAAAATGGATACAATAGTGCTTCATAGAAAAGATCATTTTTTCCAAATTTTTATTTAAATCCTAGTTAACACACAGTGCAGTAATATTGGCTTCAGGAGAATTCAGTGACTCATCACTTACATACCACACCCAGTGCTTCCCACAAGTATGCTCCTTAATCCCCATCCGCCATCCAACTCCTTTTCCATCACCAGTTTGTTCTCTATTGTTAAGAGTCTCTTATGGTTTGTTTCCCTTTCTTTTTCCCCCTCCTATAGGTTCGTTTTTGTTTTTCCTTAAATACCATATGAGTGAAATCATATGGTATTTGTCTTTCTCTATCTGACTTATTTCCCTTATAGCATCATATACTGTAGCTCCATCCACATCATGGCAGACGGCAAGACTACATTCTTTTTGATGGCTGAGTAATACTCTGGGGGCGTATACACCGCAGCGTCTTTATCCATTCATCAGCCTATGGACGTTTGCACCCTTTCCATAGTGTGCCCATTGTTGAGAATACTATCAACATCGGGGAGTATGTACCCTTCAAATCAGTATTTCTGTATCCTTTGGGTAAATACCTAGTAGTCCAATTACTGGATCGTTGGGTAGTTGTATCTTTCACTTTTGGAAGAATCTCCATACTGTTCTCCAGGGTGGCCGCACCAGTTTGCATTCCCACCAACAATGCAGGAGGGTCACACCCCTTTTTCTGCATCCTTGCCAACGCCTGTTTTTTCTTGTGTTGTTAATTTTAACCATTCTGACAGGTGCGAGGTGGTATCTCACTGTGGTTTTGATTTGCGTTTCCCTGATGATGAGTGATGTGGAGCATGTTTTCATGTGTTTGTTAGCCGTCTGGATGTGTTCTTTGGAAAAACGTCTATTCAAGTCTTCTCCCCATTTTTTGACTGAATTATTTTTTGGGGTGTTGAGTTTGATAATTTCTTTATAGATTTTGGATACTAGCCCTTTAATCAATATGTCATTTGCAAATATCTTCTTCTATTGTGTACTAGGCTGCCTTTTAGCTAATTAAGACTATTAATTTTAAAATGAGCCCATAGAATCCACAGGACCAAGGGGAAGGCAGAGGGCTTGTCTAGTGCATTTGGCTTGCACAGAACTAATGTAGAACTGAAAGGACTTTAGGCAATGTTTACTTTTGATTTAGTCTGAAATACAGATAATTTGTCCATGAACAGGCCATTGGCTCTTGTTGTTCTTAACTGCCAGTTACAATCACTTTAAGCCCAAATGTTTATAATAAAAATGTAAAAGGCCTCATTCATATCAGACATAAGTTACAAAACTTTCTTTTAAAAATACATGGAAGATATGAAAACTCAGATCCTGAAATTTTATATATTACATACATTCTGATATCTCAATTTTACTGAATTTTAAAATGTTTTTGTTTGTTCTCTAGAACTAGAGATCTTAGTGTATATCAAGTTCTGTTCATTAAAAGCCAGATTCAATTAGGAAAAACTCTAAGTGGACCATCAGTACTCCTGCACAGCACCTGAAAACCCTACCCTGCCTTAAAGGAAAGTACAGATGTGTGAAAAAAGCAGTGATTTCTGTGGGCCTGAATCAATTGTCATCCATTCCATCTTTGGTATTTTATAAACCACGTACATACCAGGTTTTAGTTGGCCCCAAAAAGCAGCGGTAACAGTCCCAGATACTATAGGCCTTTTTCCCCTCTTTGTTCCTGGCTGGTTTTCTCTCTTTTGCCTCGCCCCCATTTTTCTGGCTTGGTAACATCAACCTTGGTCTCCTTCAGTGCCAGTGATCTTCTAGACTGCTCTATCTTGGATTTGGGTTCTGTTTGTTTCTTCAGGTCTGAAAACCCCAGGTATCCTGAGAGAACTTTCCATTTCAGTCAATGAGCTGCACACTGTTGGGAGTGGGTGGGATTAAGTCACTGTCTCTCCCAGGGATGGATGTAAACTTTACTGTTTAAAAAGTGAATTGTTGTTTTAGAGGTAGTGCAGTGTGGGGCTGACCTACAACCAGCGATAGCGTTCATCAGGCGAGCACCAGGTGAGCACCAGGGTCATGATGATCATCATCTGTCAGATACTCTCCGTTTGAAAAGCCAAAGTACCTGTGCTCCATGAAGTGACCACTGTGACATGTGCAGCCAAGGAGGACTGGGTCCCTGTCCTAGACAGCTTACATAGGGGCAGACACGTGTATCAGGTCCTCCTGCTGATGGAACATCACAAGCTAGTGGCTCAGAACAATACACATTTATTCTCTTATAGTTTGCGAGGTCAGAATCCAAAATAAGTCTCACTGGGCTAAAATCAAGAGTTCAGAGCTGTGTTCCTTCTAGAGGCTGCAGGAGAGAATTTCTTTCCTTGCCTTTCACAGCTACTGGACTACAAACGCATTCCGTGGCCCGGGGCCCCTTCTCCATCTTCAGTCAGCAGCAGAGCACCAGCGAGTCGCTCTAATGCTCACTTTCCCGCTTCCCTCTCTCACTTACAAGGAACTCTGTATTATATTGGGTCCACCTGGATAAACCAGGATGATCTTTCCCATCTCAAGATCCTTAATTTTTGCAAAATCTCTTTTGCCACGTGAGATAACACATTTACAGTTTTTGGGGATTAGGGTATAGATATCTTTGGCAGGGCACTATTCTTTTCCCCAATTTTTTGTGTTAAAATACATATATAGTAAAATTTATCATCTTATTTTAGGTGTGCAGTTTGTTGGTAATAAATATATTCATAATGATGTGCAACCTCACCACCAACCCTCCCCATAACTCTTACATCATGTAAAACTGAAACTCTATGCCCATTAAACAATACCTCCCCACTCCCCCTTCCGCTGGCAACCAACATGCTACTTTCTGTCTCTATGACTAAGTACTTCACATAAGTGGAATCATCACAGAAGATTTAGTTTTTTGTGATTGGCTTATTTAACTTAGCATAATGTATCCTCAAAGTTTAACCATGATATAGAATATTTAACCATTTCCCTATTTTTAAGGCTGAATAATACTTCATTGTATGTATACACCACTTTTTATGTATCCAGTCATCCACTGATGAACACTTGGGTTGTTTCTATGTTTTTGCTATTGTAAATAATGCTTCTATGAACTCAGGCATACAAATACTTCTTTAAAATGCTGTTTCCAATTCTTTCAGATATATACTCAGAAGTGGAATTGTTGGATCATGGGACACCTAGGTGGCTCAGCGGTTGAGCGTCTGCCTTCAGCTTAGGGCATAACCCCCGGGTCCCAGGATTGAGTCCCGTATTGGGCTCCCTGCATGGAGCTTGCTTCTCCCTGTCTGTGTCTCTGCCTCTCTCTCTCTCTCTCTGTGTCTCATGAATAAATAAGTAAATAACTAAAATCTTTTAAAAAAAGGAATTGTTGGATCATATGGTAATTTTATTTTTAATTTTTTGAGGAACTGCCATGTTTTCCACAGCAGCTATATCATTTACATTCACACCAATAATACACAAGTGTTCAAATTTCTCCACATCCTCATCAACACTTGCTATTGTCTTTCTGATAGTAGCCATCCTAATGGATATGAGGTGGTATTTAAAAACTATAGTTTTTATTTGCATTTCCCTACTGCCAGTAATGTTAAACTTCATTTCACGGGCTTATTGAGCATTTGTGCATTTTATTTTGAGCATTTGTGTATTTTCTTTGGAGAAATGCCCATTTAAGTTTTTTGCCCATTTTTAAAATTTAAATTTAATTAACATATAATTTACTATTGGTTGCAGAGGTAGAGATCAGTAACTCATTAGTTATATATAATACCCAGTGCTCTTGACATCACATGCCCTCCTTAATGTCCATCACCCAGTTACCCGGTCTCCCCCACCCACCTCCCCTCCAGTGACCCTCAGTTTGTTTTCTATGATTAAGTCTCTTATGGTTTGTCTCCCTCACTGATTTCATCTTGTTTTATTTTTTCCTTTCTTCCCCTATGATCTTCTGTTTTGTTTCTTAATTCCACATATGAGTGAGATCATGATAATTGTGTTTCTCTGATGGACTTATTTCACCCAGCATAATACCCTCTAGTTCCATCCATGTCATTGCAAATGGCAAGATTTCATTTTTTTTTTTTTGATGACTGAGTAGTAGTCCGTCCTGAGCCACAGGCAGATGCTCAACTGCTGAGCCACCCACATCTTCTTTATCCACTCATCTGTCGATGGACATCTGGGCTCTTTCCATAGTTTGGCTGTTGTAGACATTGCTACTATTAACATTGGGGTGCAGCGGTCCCTTCATATCACTACATTTGTATCTTTGGTTGCCCAGTTTTTAATAGTGTTTTTGTTTTTGTTGTTGAGTTTTAGGAGTTTTCCATGGTTTCTGGATATTAATTCCTTATCAGATATGTAATTTGCAAATATTTTATCCTATTCTCCAGGTTGCCTTTTTACTGTGTTGATACTGTCTTTTGACATATAAATTTAAAACATTTTCATGAAGTCCAATTTGTGTACTTTTTCTTTTACTGCCTATGTCTTGGTGTCCTATCCAAGAAATTTTTGCCAAATCCCACATCCTGAAGCTTCTGCTCTCTTTTCTGCTGAGTTTATTAGTTTTAGGTCTTTGAGTCATTTTAAGTCATGGTGTTTGAAAGTGTCCGCCTTCATCCTTTTGCATGTGGATGTTCAGCTTCCCCAGCGCCACTTGTTGAAGAGATTGTCCTTTCCCATCCAATGGTCTTGGTACCCTTGTCAAAGATCATTTGTCCATATATATGAGGGTTTATTTCTGGGCTCTCTATTTTGTTCCATTGTTACACATGTCTGTCTGTCAGTATCACACTGTTTTGATTATTATGGCTTTGAAGTAAGTTTTGAAGTCAGGAAATTTGAGTCCTCCAGCTTTGTTCTTCTTTTTAAAGATTGTTTTGTCTATTTGGGGTCCCTTCAGATTCCATATAAATTTTAGGATCAGCTTTTTTATTTCTGCAAAAAAAAAGTCTTAGAGATTTTGTTAGAGATTATATAAAATATACAGACTGTGTTGGGGAGTAATGACTTCTCAACAATACTGTCTTCCAATCCATGAATATGGAATGTGTTTCCATTTATTTATACCTTCTTCAATTTCTTTTGGCAAGGTTTTGTATTTTTCACTGTATTAGGCTTTCACTTTCTTGGTTAAACTAATTCCTAAGTTTTTATTTCTTTGATGCTATTGTGAATGGACTAATTTTCATAATTTCCTTTTTGAGATTGTTCATTGTTAATGTATAAAAACGCAACTGCTTTTTCTGCCCTGACTTTGTATTCTCCTACTTTGCCAAATTCATTTATTAGTTTTAACAGGTTTTTCTTTTTTTTTGGTGTGAAATCTTTAGTGTTTTCTACATATAAGATCATATCATTTGCAAACTGAGATAATTCTTTGCTACTTCACTTCTGATTTGGATGCCTTTTATTTCCTTTTGTTGCCTAATTGCTTTGGCTAGAAATTCCAGTACTATGTTGAATAGAAGTGGGCATCCTTGCCTTGTTCCTGATCTTAGAGGAAAGCTTCTAGTCTTTCACAATCACTATGATGTTTCCTGTGGGTTTTTTATATATGATTTTTATTATGTGGAGGTACTGTCTTTCTATTCCCAGCTTTTTGAGTGCCATTAAAAATTATTTTAAAGATTTTATTTATTTGGGGGGCAGTGTGTGTGTGCATGAGCAGGAGTGATGGCAAAGGAGGAGAGAATCTCTCAAGCAGACTGCACGCTGATCATGGAGCCCAGTGTGGGACTCGATCTTACAACCCTGAGATCATAACCTGAGCCAAAAGCAAGAGTCAGACGCTTAACCGAAAGAGCCATCCAGGTGCCCCAAGTGTTTTTATAACAAAAGAGTGTTGGAATTTTGTCAAATGCTTTTTTCTGTATCAACTGAGATGATCATGCATTGTTTCCATCATTCTGTTAGTGTGGTCTAATAACAATGACTGATGTTCATGCGTTGAACACTTTTTGGATTCCAGGAATAAATCCCACTTGTCATGATGTATAATCCTTTCACTAGGCTACTACATTTGGTTTGGTAGTTGTGTTGAGCATTTTTATATCAATGTTCATAAGGGATATCAGTCTGTGATTTTTCTCTCTTTGTAGTGTCTTTGTCTGGCTTTGGTTTCAGGGTAATGCTGGCCTCAAAGAATGAGTTACAAAGTGTTCTCTTTCCTTCAATTTTTTGGGAAAAACTTGAGAAAGATTGGTGTTCGTTCTTTAAATATTTGGTAGAATTCACTACTGAAGCCATCAGCTCCAGGGCTTTCCTTGAACATTTTTGATTACTGATTCAATCTCCTTACTAATTATATAGGTCTATACAGATTTTCTATTTTTTTCTGATTTAGTCTTGGTAGGTATTTTGTTTCTAGAAACTTATCAATTTCATCTAGGTTATCCAATTTGTTGGCATATATTGTTAATAGCACTGTCTTATAATCCTTTTTTATTTCTGTGGAATCCATAGTAATATTTCCACTTTCATAACTTCTCTTTTAAAAAATATTTTACTTATTTATTTATTCATGAGAGACACAGAGAGAGAGAGGCAGAGACACAGGCAGAGGGAGGAGCAGGCTCCATGCAGGGAGCCTGATGTGGGACTCGATCCCAGGACCCTAGGACCATGCCCCGGGCTGAAGGCAGGCACCAAACCGCTGAGCCACCCAGGTGCCCCCCACTTTCATATCTTTTCTTCCCTCATCTTTATTGAGGTATAACTGACAAAATTATAACTTATTCAAAGTGTACAACATGATGATTTGATAAATGGATTCACTGAGGGGATCCCTGGGTGGCGCAGTGGTTTGGCGCCTGCCTTTGGCCCAGGGCGCGATCCTGGGGACCCGGGATTGAGTCCCACGTCGGGCTCCCGGTGCATGGAGGCTGCTTCACCCTCTACTTGTGTCTCTGCCTCTCTCTCTCTGTGACTATCATAAATTAAAAAAAAATGGATTCACTGAAATGATTCTCACAGTAAAGGTAAGACATCCATTACTTTACATGGTTATCTTTTTTTTTTTTTTTTGGTGGTAGAATGCTTAAAGTTTATGCTCTCAGTACAATTCAAGTATACGATCTTATATTATAACTACAGAAAACATAGAAGACTTCAAGAATCTGAGTGTGATCCTTGTGCAGGGGCCGGCTAATCTTCTCTATATTGTTCCAGTTTTAGTGTATGTGCTGTCAGAGCGAGTGCCCCATTTTCATTTCTGAGTTTAGTAATTTGAGTCTTTTCTCTTTTTCACTTCATCTGGTTTAAGGTTTGTCAATGCTGTGGCTCTTTTCAAAGAACTCAAACTTTGGTTTCATTGATTTTTCTCTAGTGTTATTTTATTCTCTATTTCGTTGATCCCTGCTATAATCTTTATTTTCTTCCTTCTGCTAGCTTTGAATTTAGTTTGTTTTTTTCTCTAGATGCTTAAGTTGTATAGTTAGGTTGTTGATTTATTTCTTATTTTTCAATGTAAATGTTTACAGTTGTATACTTCCTCCTTAGCAGTGATTTTACTGTGTCTTGTAAGTTTTAATATGCTGTGTTTTCATTTTCATTCATCTTTAAGTATTTTCTAGTTTTCCTTGAGTTTTTCTTCAATCCATTTGTTGTTTAAGAATGTGTTGTTTAATTTCCACAAATTTGTGGATTTTTCAATTTTACTTCTGTTATTAATTTCTACCTTTGTCCTGTTATGGTTGGAGAAGATACTTTGTCTTTTTAAATCTCCTGAGACTTCATCTTCAGCCTAACAGACAGTCTATCCTGGAACATATCCCAAGTGTACTTGAGAAGAATGTGTATTTTATTTTTGTTGGGTAGTGTTCAGGAGAGGCATTTTTTCTGCCCACCACAATAGGACTAGTTACTCATGATTCATTCATTTATTCAATAAATATTTGTTGAAGACCTATTCTGTGACAAGCACTACTCAAAGCACTAGGATTCAGCAGTAAAATCCATGCCCTTTACCTGATAAAGCTTACATTTTAGTGTAGGAAGACATAAGGAACAAATACACAATATATGTAATATGTAGTATGTCAGGTGTGCAAAGTGCTACAGAGAGCAGGGGACATGGCCAGGGATGAAGAAGTAGGTCAATGTGTAATACTATTTTATACAGAGTGGTTGGGGAAGCTCTTTCTAAGGTGTTAAGTAAGCAGAGTTCTACAGAAAGTGAGGAAGGAAGCCATGAGGATATCTGAGACCAGGCTGTTTTAGATAGAAAAGCAGCGAGTCTCAAGTCCTGGAGTCAGGAACACGCAGGACATATTCAAGAAAAAGCAAGGCCACTGTGGCTCTAGCAGATTGAGTGAGTGGGAGAACAATAGGAGATGAGGTCAGAGAGGCAAGGAAGATCAGATAGGGTCTTACAGAGCACTGTAAGGACATTATGGATCTCACTGAATGAGAATGAAAGCCATTGTAAGGTCTGGGCAGAGGAGTGACATATCTGACTTTGGCTTAAAGATAATCACTATAGCTAATTGGTTGAAAAGCTTTTAGAAGAGCCAAGGCAGAAGCAGGGAGGCCAATTAGGAGGCTGTCTAAATTATTCAAGCCAGAGATCATGGTGGATGAATTAGGCTGGTAGCTATGAATGTGGTGAGAAGTGCAGGAAAGCCAACAGGGTTTCCTAATAAATTGGACGTAGGTGTGAGAGAAAGAAGAGTAAAAAAAATGGCTCAGTGGATTCTGACCTGAGTAACAGGAAGAATGTGGCTGCCATTTACAGAAATGGGGAAAGCAGGGCAGCCTGGGTGGCTCAGCGGTTTAGTGCCACATTCGGCCCAGGGCGTGATCCTGGAGACCCGGGATCGAGTCCCAAGTCAGGCTCCCTGCATGGAGCCTGCTTCCCCTCCGCCTGTGTCTCTGCCTCTCTCTCTCTCTCTCTCTCTCTCTCTCTCTCTCTCTCTCTCATGAATAAATAAAATCTTAAAAAAAAAAAGAAATCGGGAAAGCAGTGGATAGAGCATGTCTTGGGAGGAAAACCAGGAGTTCAGCTTTAAGCTTGCTGAATTCAAGATGCCTACTAGACCTCTAAGTGGAGATAATGAATTGGAAATTGGATAAAATGAGCTTACCAAGGTTAGCTATTTTTGTCAGTTTTGTCTCTAGGGCTTAGAACAGTGGTCTGACACATAGCCACACAATGAACATTTGTGAATGACTGATTAAATAAACAAGTCTAAGGTCAGAAGAGTGGTTGGGCTTGAGATATATGGGAGTCATCAACACGTATGTACACGGTATTTAAAGCCAGGAGCTCATCCAGTAAGTGAACACAGATAGTGGTTTGAGGATTGAATCTTGGGATATGTAAACATTTAAAAGTTGGGGAGATAAGAAAACAGCAAAGGAAACTAAAACAGAGGAACCCATGGGGTAGGAGGAAGATGTGGTGTCTTAGAAGCAAAGTGAAGATAGTTTCAAGAGAAAGGAAGTAATTATTTAAAAAGTTTAAAAAATGAGAACTGAAAAAAGGATGGAATTTATAGAAATGAATGTTATATTCTATTTTTAGATTTTTATAAAAACTAATCGTATATGTTTATAACGAGAAGAAGCTATGTGATGGCGGCTGGGAAACAGCTCACAGTGATAAGCTCGGGAAGAAGGCTTAGCAAATTACCTGCCTAACAGTTCAAACCAGTACAGAATTGTTTATCTATCAACGAATACAACTCAATTTTGGCTGAATTAATAGGAGCACAATGTACATAGCCAGAAAAGTTTAGTCCTGCTCCACTACCCTGGAAGTACTGGGTCCAGCAATGGTACCATACTACATTCAGGACACTTTTGTACCAGAAAGTTCTCTAGGAAAGTGACTTCTGTGGTATAAGTATTTGGGAACAGTGTCATCTGAGGAATATTTGAAGGATTTGGAAATTCACCTCAGAACTATAGGCTATAAGTCATTTTCAAACTGAAGAAGTGTTATGTTGTTACTTATGACCCCAGAGAAGAGACATTATCTGAAAGCAGGTATTAGATAAACTCATGAAAATCTTTCTGACAATTAGGACATTCCAAAGTTCAATGGGATGTTGGGGAGGTATTATATTCTTCCCTATTCTGGAAAAAGTGAGGGATCACACCCCATGCAAGTGGCAGAGGGTACTCAAACCTCAGCTGGGCATGGAACACAATGATGTCTAAGATTCTGTTCAGTCCTAGGATGTTAGAATAGCTGCAAATCTACTTTGAAAATTACACCCTCCTGTGCGTGTGCACACACACACACACACACACACACGCACGCGCGCGCGCGCGCCCTACAGGTTGTTTAATGCAGATCTAATTATGAGCCCCACTGAAGGGAATGTGGATGGCTTGGTGCAGATGTGAGAGGAAGAAAAAACTGAAGGTGGGAAAGATGTGTGTGAGCATTTAGGGTATCTGGACATTTGGTTAGAGAAGAGAAAAAAAAATAGGGACAGTTAAAGAGTAAGATTATCAAGTAGGGTGAGGCTGGCTAATACTTGGGAAGATTCCCAAAGTGCCTGATGATGAGTTTCAGCTGAACTCAAAGGGGGACTTCTGAGAAGCAGCCTTTCTGGGAGGAGAAGTAATAGATGATGAGAAGAGATGGACATTCTTGCTGTTTAGAATCAACAACCTGGAAGAGGCTGGAGAAAGAGGAAGGCCGGGACACCAATGGGAACAGGAGGGAGAGGATGAGGCACTAAGAAGAAACCGGGCTCTAGCAGAGGTCTGAATGGAGGCCCAAGAAAGTGGCAGCTGCAGAGGTGACGGCCTCAACCACAGGTGGAGGGAAGGAAGGGCAGGGAGGAGCCGGGAGGGGAGGATGCAGCTCTGGGTGGCTGGCGACAGCCTCCAGTTCTGCAGCTGGGACCCACGGGCTAGGGCTGCTGTCCCAACAGGCCTCTCCGGTGGGACATTTCCGATCTCCTAACTCCAGCTTCCTCATAGTCACCGTAAGCAGGAGGGCCTTGTGCTGATTTTGGTTAGGCTTGCGCACGTTTTGGCTTCCCCTATCTTCAGAATTTGGCAGATAGGCTGCAGGAGTCCTGCCCGAGGCCCTGCCGTGTGGCCAAGCAAAGGCAGTTGCTTCTGCTGGGTGAGCAACTGGGAGGCAAAACGGTCGTATCGGGGTTGCGTGAGGACAGCAGTGCCCTCCTGACTGATCTTTGCTGCTTCCATCCTTGCACCTCCAATCTATTCCTCACAGAGGAAACCTAATATTTTTACTTTTTAAGTAATCAGATCTTGCCACCCTCTGGCTTAATATCCTCGAGTGGCTTCCCATCACACACAGAGTAAAACCCCAGCTTCTTCTCTCTCTCCCTTTCTCTGGCACAGTGCCGAGCACGCAGTGGACGTACAAACTGAACTGTAGCGATGACATGGTCATCGTTCTGTCCCTATGAGTCAACTAAGGCTTTATTACAAGCAGGGATGGATCTTTCAAAACCTCTAAACTAGCAATCGATAGAAACAGCCCAGAAGTTCCTGCTCTTGTATTCTTCTCACTCTCTAGAGCTGAAGCGTGTGGCAGTCACTCTTCTGTATCACTCTGGAGGCTGCCCTGCTCCCTTGGCAGGTGTGGGCAGGGTTGGTGGAAGGAACCTCACAAGGAGCACTCAGCCTGGGACACATAACAGGTGCTCAACAAATGGTCCTTCCTTTATGCTTAACTTGCTGAATCTTCTTATATTTACTTCATTCCCTGACTCCCAATCTCAGAAAGTCTTTTGTCGAAGGGCAGTGGCTACTGACTACAACTGGTTTACAAGTTAACGGAAGTGATGTCAAGAGACAGGGTGACAATACCAAATATGAGACTGCACAGAGAAAAGAAGACAGATGAGAACAGGATATTGGAAACACATTTATCTTCAGGGTAGGCTGGAACGCGGCAGATTATATTTTTCAAACACAACCACGGCAATATTTCTAGTCCTATATGCTCTTCTGGGGCCTCAGGCTCCCTGTGAAGAGGAGGGGTCTCTTTCTCCTCCTTGGAAGCACGGGGGGTGGGGGTGGGGGGAGGGGCTTGCGACTGTCTTGATGAACAGAATGCAGGGGAAGTCATGCTGCATAACTTCTGAGGCCAGCTCATAAAAGGTGATACAGTTTCTCCCTGGGTCTTTGCCAAGATGCTCCTTCTTGGAACCTGCCACCAAGCTGTGAGGAAGCCCAAATTAGCATCTGCAGAGTGACCAGATGGAAAGGTC